TAATTAGTGGTAATTGTGCTGGTTTCACAGAAGATCAAAACACCCAACCTACAGAAAAGCCCGTTGTGTCACAGCACCGCTCCAATGCTGCGAATGCACGTTGCCCATTTCCGCAGGCACTGATGACGGCATTGAAGAAGATGGTGTTTGGCCTTCAGCGCGGAGCTAGAATTGGCTAGAATCTTGACACAGCGGAATATCTGCGGGAAGAATGGAAGCAAAACACGCAACCATGACCCAAACGCAACATTGGATGCGCTGACAATTCCAAGGCAGAACAGAAAGCTCATCCGTGGCGTACAGGGACCATCAAGGCTCTGGCTATAAAAAAGCCGGAGTCCTCCGTGCGGCAAGAGTCCAACCCGAAGCCCTGCTGCAGGTGACGTGGAAACGAATCGACATGAACCCCAAGGGTCTAACTCTTGACACATGCCTGTGTACCAACGGTAGCTTCTCCAGAAAATTTGCCTGAATCTCACTACACTTGCTTGTTGCGTCGCTTCTTAATTACACTTCATTATTCCATCCAAGAGCATGCAAGGGCGCTGGGACCTGGTGCTTTTCTTACAGACCCAGGTAGACAACACTAAACTGTGCTAATATGCAGGCAAATGGATTCTGGGCAATTACTTTCATTCCCAAGTGGAAAACAGGGGGAAACGGATCTTCATGGTGACGTTGTTTACCCCCGAGTGAGCTTATTATAATTTGTTCTGGTGGGTTCATCCACCCTGATAAAGGCAGGTAGATCGCCCCAAAAGTGCACAAATTCAGAACATTCTTCCGAAAGCAATCAGCGCCTCGCACTGCCGCAGCACCCCTTCTGCGCACCAGTATGCAAAATACTGTATACATATTGATACAATAATTGTGGCAGTGAGCATGACATACAGTGACGTACATGTATATCTTCTGGACGCATCCTCCCCCCCTTGTGTCTGGCATGTGCGCCCAGGCGCTGCACCGCTCGTCCGTGGGCGCGGCGCAGCAGCTGGGCGGCGTGGGGCCAGGCGGTTTTGCAGGCGGAGGCGCAGGAGGCGAAGACCACCACGTCCGCCAGCACTTGGCGCCTGAGCCCGCGATAGCTCAATGGCTCAATGTTTAGCTTATAGCTATAGGTTAGTTGCAGGCTAGGGTGGTACAACTAGCTCCATGGATATATGACAGGTTAGCTTCAAGTGGTTCGCCTATCCTACGGGTTTGGATGAGGCTTTCTGGAGTTCATCTACCTACTCTTCTCCGAAACCGAAGTGCACCAAAAAGTTGCGGTGTAAAATAGGGGGTCTGGAAACAGCAAGCGCGCCATCCCTGTCCGGACAGCTGCACATTGATGCAAAGGCTGCAGTTCCTTCCGCAAGTTGGGTTGGGCTTTTTCCCGTAGCTCCTCGCGTACCTTTGGGTCTCGCTGAATCGCTCGCCTCGGCCCCGCCTCTCCATCAGCTCCAGCAGCTCCAGCGCCGCAAGCCACTGGGAGCCCTTCTCGCAGGCGGTGACGGCAGTGCTGAAGGCCACCAAATCCGCCGAAGCCCCTGGGGCGGGCGGGCTGGCCGGCGGGCTGGCCGGCGGGCTGGCCGGCGGGCCCCCCCCACCAGGTCACCAGTTTAGAAACAAAATTGCAAAATCTGGGAATGGGGTTGGTGCACTTTTCATAAAATTGCCTACCAAATCCAGCTGGACTGTGAGGAAAACGTGGGAAGTAGGCCTCATAGGAGCAACACGCTAGAAATCATTTGGCCCTACCCGAGGTTTTCTGTTCTCGCATCCCACAAAACGAGGCGCCTTGCCCCATCATTCGCTCGAAGAGATCCAGCGCGAGGCGCCAATGGCTGGCACGCGTGCAGTGCTTCATGGCAACACCTCCGGCAAAAATCGGACAGGGCCTTGGATTTTGGAGTGAACAATGCCTTGGATTGCTTGGTGGTAATTGGGATTTGTGTCCAACCTTTGGGGATGTCTATCCTAAAATCAACCGGATTGGTAAGGGAGGTTCCCAGCAACTGAAGGATTCTCGATGGCGCCACCCTCCTGTTCTTCAATATTTGGTGGACATCATTGGGATTGTGCAGCCACTGTGCAACCACTGAGCAACCACTGTGAAAGTGTCTCCCATTCAAACTCACACCCTGTTACTGTACGGGGGAGGCCGGGAGGGACGTGCGGAGGGGGGATGGGGACGGGTCACGTGGTTGGCCATGGCAGGTGTTCTGTGAATTGGTCTATGTCCCTGATGGTTTGACGATATTGTGCGGTGCCGGCGGTGCCTTCTCTGGCAGAAGTTGCACATGCATGTTGTTCGTCAAACAGTATCATTCGAGTCTATCATTCGAGTCTTGCTTTGCTCGACTTTCAATAAAAGCAATCGGACAAACACAGAACTTCCCTCAAATATGCAAACGCCACGTTGAAAGAAGCGATCAGTAGATCATGATTATCTGTCCATGGCTGTCCAACAACTTGTAACTTTTCAGTGAAGAGCGGTGTGTACTGTGTGTTCCAGATTGTCTGATCCTCGGGTCCTTCTTGGGAAAGCCAAGTTTGTTTGCATGTTTCTCCTCACGAAGAAGAGTCTCTGTCGGGTTCCCCGTGCGTGGAAAAATGGTAAGGAAGCCTGGATCGCACCTTCAACCTGGCTTGAACTTGTGTTGCCTGTTCAGCATGCGTGCTAGTGTGCATCCACGCTTGTCCCACGTGTTCTATGAATGCAGCGCTTGCCCCAACCTGAATTTGGCAAAAGCCATTGCGGGCAGTGCACTTTGACTCAGCGTGCAATATCAGCACGTAGCATGCTGACTAACAGCGGATTCACACCTAAGTACGGACCTGCGGCTTCAAGCAGCCCAAACTTTGAAATGCAGCGATAGCTCCTCTGTGCCAGGTCACTGAAAAGGACATGGTTGGGACGGGCTCCTTCAGAGTGCGCTCTCCGCGCGGGCCCCCTCGTTTTTGTTTGTCCCTCTCTGTGTTTCTCTCTCCTTCTCTCTCCCTCTCTGACTCTTAGACTGGCAGCTTCTTGCAATTCCTAGAAGGCAGAAATGAATTGTGCGCATCTCATGAATAAAGGATCTTGCATCAAACTTCACACATGCTAATTGGGGGGTGTCAAGAAACTGCGACTTGTGTAATCTTTGTTTTGAGGCCCCCCATTTCCCGCACAGTCAGGAGGAGAACGACTCGCCAAGCCTTGTGCCCATGATTCACTTCAGGAAGCAACGTTGAGCACAGTACGTCCTTTGTCAGACCGCCCAGCACAAATGCACAACTGTGGAACTATCTGGATTATGTCATTGCCCACAGGCAGCTTTCAAGATCACGTGGAACCAACTGGAGGCGTGTTGTCCACTTGCCTGCACTTAGGACGGGTCAAGACTGGTTGTCTGCCAAAAACACTTCTCAACTCCAACCTGCTGCTGTAGCCCTTTCTCAAATGTTCATAGGCAATGAGTGTGACTCGTTTGGATTTCTGTGACTGTTGTAAGGTGGCTATGAGCTGGCTTTGGGTGCCTTTTGTAGCATGTAGGGTGCCGTTTTGGCCATGGTGTTTACACAACGAGCCATGCCCTAAAAGTGGCATGATTTGCTATGTCGTATCATTTTGCTTACGTCACAAGCTTACGCGACCTTACGCGTGTGGAGACTTGGCTCCAGGTCGATGTGGCACGACTGTTACTAAACATGTACACAGAGGTTTTGGCCGCAGCTCGACGAGAATTCGCAAGGGACCCCCACCTCCATTTTCGGGTCCCGACTATTTGCTTGCAGCTTCTCGTAGGGAATCAAGGGGTTTTGGGAATGAACCTAGGGAGACCGAAAAGGACACCAAAATAACACTCATTCCCACATTCCCTGAGCAGCAAGTTTAGAGACAGATGTCTCACGGGCCACGTCCCCCGCGTCCTGGCGTTGACACGGCTTGCACTGCCTGGCGCCATTGCTGCGCAGGCGCCTTGCATCATGTTGAAGGCTTTCCTAGTTTAGAAAGAAAGCCACTTCTTGCCACATGACACGCACAGCACAAATACGTCCAAGTGAACCTCTTCCCAACTGCATAGGATGCATGCACAGAGCTGTTGTTTCATCATCGTTCAAGATCTTATAGCGGGTGTGTGTGTGTGTCTCTTTTCTAATGCTGACTAGACGTCACATCATTCTGAAGCTTCAAACTCGCATGTCAATAGCAGCTTCAGCTTGTCATATTGAACTGCCGAATCGATGTTATGTTCTCCCCCAGAAAAGAAAGACAATCTCTAGCATTGGTACTTATGATGTGGGGAAGCATCTTGTTGATGCATGATCCTAAGCACAAATGCAAACAAGTTGATCAATGCGCGTCATTGTTGCTTCGCGTATGCCGCGTGTGTTCTTCCGATAATTGATTCTAATCACACTTAAAACAAATGTGTTGCTAGTGTCTGAACCGCACCATTTGTTCTCCCAAGGTGGCAGTGCAGGTTCGTGCAAGCCGTGATTCTCACTGACCGGGCAGAAACGCAGAAACCACTGCGGGCATCACCAGAGGCTTTGTTTCCTGCGTACTCCTCATGTAAGAATGTCCCTTGTAGCTTCTGTCGGGGCTGAGAGGCGTAACTTCAAAACAATGACCCCAAAGGCACACCAAAAGGACACACCAAGGCATCGAAACGGACACTAAAGGACGCCAAAGTGACACCCAAGGGACACCAAAGAATCCTACTTTCCCCCCTCTGGTAGTGGATCGTTTCATGGTTTCACGCACACCCTTTGGCTGACCCTACAAGTGACTAACCTCTGACCAAGGTGCAATGCGGCGCGCCATGTCGCGCCATCGGCTAGCAAGCTGCAATGGTAGCGTGCGCGGCCTTAAATGTGCGTTGAGAATACACCTTGGTGTTTATTACGTTCAAGCTGTATTGCAACAAACAAGAAATATGGTGCCCGCATATCCAGAACACGCTTCACAACCTGAGAGTGGAGAGTTGATGCGCGCGCGTGCTGGTTCCAGACATGCCTGCAGAACCCTTTGCCTGGTGGTACGGCAAGACAAACAGATTGGATGCGCGGGTGCATGAAGCCGCATTCCCCTGCCATTCCTGAACAGGGCAGTAGGCTCGGCGGAGCAATCAAGGTCCGCAGCTAAATTCGCGGGATGCAACAGCCAGATATAAGTCTTGCTTGCCCTGTGGCTGTGGCCATAAAAACGGAACACCTGATTTTCCTGATCTCAACTGGAACCCCACCCAGCAAAGGGGAAAAGGCGCCACTGGACAACTGGGGCCATCCTTCTGCCATGGCACAAAACATATCCTCCAAAAACCAGAAGCTTCTGCAGTGGCACTGGCTGACCTTGGATACTGTCCCTGCCTGCATGGCCATTTCATTGATCTGGCGTCGAGCCTAGGTCAATGTTGTGTCCAATCAAATCAAAACCCATGGCTCAAGTCCGGGATGGTTTACGCGATCAAGTCCGAAACAGCTCACGCAAACTATCCACAGCGGCTTGTGAGGCAACGAGTGATGATCTGGCATGCCCATTAAACAACGGCTGTGCGTCACAAGTATCTCCAAACGATTGCTTTGCATTGATGAGTGTCCGAAGGAGCTCCTTGTTTGCGACATTCAGCGCTATGCAAGAGATGTTGAAGGGATTGAACTAGCTTTGACAAAGCGGTGACCCTTTCCAATACAATAATTATCATGGAAGTGCACAAGGGTCATTTGAGATGATGGTCTTCCCAAAACTGTCCTGGCAGCTTCCAGGTTGCTGGAAAAGGGCAACAGCATGCAACACCTGGGTTTCAACCGCATCCAAACAAGCTTTCGGCACCAGCGGTTGCTCCCTTGAAGGCCTCGCCAGTCTCCAGGGAGATCATGGCCCGAAGTTCCACCATGGTCTCCTAGCTACTTCCAAATTAAAGGACGTGGAACTTTCGGGGTGGGGCGGGCTGAAGGAGGACACAATTCATGAAGCAACACGCAGGCTTTGCCACTTTGTGCCTCTAGGGCCCTTTTGCTCTGCCAATACCGTGGGCATGCCAATTAATCTTGGGCCATCTTTCTAAGGGCACCCTTTGAGGTTCTTCACAAGGAGCATACCGAAAGAAGGCCACCAGCTTGGGGGACTCCCGTGATTGGGTGGTCCGCCGCTTGATGACAGTCCTGAGTATTCCTGTCAAGTCTTCCTGAGGAATAGTGAGCCTAACTACAGATTTGTCGCGGCACATGTCTGTGATCTTCCCATCAATTCGACTGTGCCCCGGTCCAAACTCCCAGGCAATGGAAAGGGTCCGGCCCTTAATAGGAACCTTTGCAATGGCTGTCTAAGAAACAAATGTAGGCGTAAATCTAAACATAGAGGGCCCCTCAGTGGGCAGTTTCCTTTCAGTTTCCTGTTTAAAGCACCCAAAAGGAGGGTGATCTATTTTGAGACGAATCCCATAAACAGGTTGATCACTATCCTGGTTTGTCACAAACACAGTCCTGTCCAGCTGCCTGGGAAGCTAAAAAACAAATGACACGGCAGGCCATTTGATTGAAGAGGGGTGGGTTTTGCCAAGATGGTGTCTCACCGGAAAAAAAAAAGAAACAAAGAGAAGACCAAAGGAAACATAATCAGACTTGAGATCACAATTTGGAGAGAAGCATCACCGTGATCTGCTCCGCAAACAAAGGACACAAGTGGTTCCTGCCGTGAGTAAGTGAATGCAAGGAAAAAGGTCACAACTATCCATTCGCCGTCACATCCCTATTGATAAGATAAATCCGTGGCATGGTCGTCACGAAACACTTAGTATCTTCTGTTGGTTTTCTCGCAAAGATGTCCGTTTGGGACAAATCGAGTGGCCGATTTGATACCATTTCCCTATGGTTTTGTCTTTGGGTTTACTTCTTCATCAAGCCATCAACCAATGGGGGAAAAAACAAAAACATATGCTGCAAATGCTTCTCTCCCAAAGACCCAGCGACCCATGTCTTTATTTTGGCAGACTCACCGGTCTCGATTTGTGCCGTAGAAAACCGCCACATGGAGGTCGCTCCAGCGGAGGAAAAACCACGCATACGACTGCAACTTTACACCGGGCTTTCCCACAACGACTTGGTAGCCCCAGTCTGGCCACGCTTTGTAGATCTTATCGCTCTGACAATTACTCAGATTCATGCACCTATCACCGTAGCACTGGTAGCTCCAAATCTAAAAGCTGGTCACTCGGTTTGGCGGAAAGTTCCCGTTTGGCGTTCCTTCGGGCTTGGGCGGCTGAAAACACATTTGGCTAGCAGCAGATGGCTTGAGAAGCTTGACAAACAAAACAAATTTCAGGTACAGCCATGAGTTTTAAGTTCAAAGCAGTCGATGGAGCTACTCACGACACTGCCGCGGGAATGTGGCCTGTGGCTGAAAACTGTGGGCTGTTTGTGTGCGCCAGGCAAAGCTGGTCCCGAAAGGACAGACGTTTGCTGCCCTCACAGCAAGTTAAACGAGCCTGAAATCAGAGCCCGGCACAATCCCCGTGATCATAGTGGACATGTGATTTAGCTTTTGATGCTCCCACTTTGTTCATTTGATACTGGCAAGGCAGCAGCCAATACTCATGAGCCTGTCGTTGGCGTTCCCAACAACCATTCTTGGCATCTTGGGATCTGGGTGCCCCTGATACCTTCTATTTGGCCCGCAGCCAATGCTTCCCTGTCAGTGACTCCCGCAGATGTTTGGGAACATCTGCACTTATGGTTGTCGAAATCGCAACCCATCCACGCAGGCATCACCAGAACAACACGAGAGCCACCCGGCTCTGCCACAAGAAGCCGCAAAGCAAGGATTCTTTTCGAACCAGTGGGGGAGCATCTACGACTGAAGCACCCCGTTGCAATTGTTTTCTGATTGTACACGTTGCGTGAAGTGTAGTGTTGGTTGCACGTGTTACATAATCCGCCGACATTGTTCGGCGTGTCGGATACTTACTAGAGGATAGAGGATAACCCCCCCCCCCCTTACCCCCGCCTTACCCCCCCCCCCCGCCCGACGTCTAATACGTAGGTTTTAGGGGGGGGGGGGTCCCCCACGTACCGCGCGGCAATTTGATGACGTTCCACTAAACGTAGTCTTCGGGGAGCCGGTGTCGCAAAACAGGGGTCCCAGGCTCGATTCCCCCGTGTTTTTGGACGTGCTCTTTGCGAAAACGCTGGAAAAACCGTGCTTTTTGTGTGGGAAATACTGGGGAGCAAAGGGGAAATGCAAGGAAGTGGGAGGAAATAGGAAGTCGACATGACAGGAAAGCAATGGGAAATGAAAGGGAAACAAAGGAAGACTGAAAGGGACATGAAAGGGACAGAAATGAAAACAAGGGGAGTGCAGGGGGCATGAAAGGGAAACAAAGCACAAGGAAACCAATCGGCACGACGCGAGATGTAGGGAAATGACTCGCAACGCAAGAACGGGACATACATGGAAAATGAAGCGGACATACCGAGAAAACGTCAGGGACATGAAGGGGGAGTTGAAAGGAATGGAAGGGACATGACCGGGACATCATAGAACCGTGAAAAGGACATGAAGGGGAAATCAAGCACAAAGCCAGTTGTGAGATGACAGTTCAGGGTCGTGAAGGGGCAGTGCCCGGACATCAAGGCAACTCAGAAGGGGACGTGACGCTGCAATGCAGAGAGAGAGAGAGAGAAGAGAGAGAAGAGAGAGAAGAGAGAGAAGAGAGAGAAGAGAGAGAAGAAAGAGAAGAAAGAGAAGAAAAAAAAGAAGGGAAGAGAAGAGAAGAGAAGAGAAGAGAAGAGAAGAGAGGAGAAGAGAAGAGAAGAGAAGAGAAGAGAAGAGAAGAGAAGAGAAGGAGAGAGAGAGAGAGAGAGAGAGAGAGAGAGATAGAGATAGAGAGACAAGGAGAGGGAGATTGAGGAGAGAGAGGCTTGGGGGGATGGGGAGGATCGGGGGAGGGAGGGAGAGAGGACAGCAGGGAGACAAGGGAGAGATGAAGAAGGAGAAAAGGGAGAGATGAAGAAGGAGAAAAGGGAGAGGACAATGTCGGCGGAGTGAGCCGGAGGCTCTAAAGTATGTAGTTATTTTGGGCACTCTTTTAATTCTCTGTGAATACCCTGCAGGGGTGGCTCCACCAAAGCAAACATCTGAACCTTTTTCTGCTAGGGTGTTGGACGTGTCTTTGTCTTTTTATTCACCAACACAATCGAATCTTCATTGATTACTACAGCTTCAGTAGATAGTCCCTTTCTCTTGGCTCCGTTCGTTCATACTGTATTTCCACGCCATACATTCTCACAAAGGGCATTCAACCACTGGTCCTTGCAGTCCGTGGTTTCGTCTGCTAAGGGAAGGTCAACAAAGGCGCCGACACGCCGAGTGCAAGGTTGCTTGCGAAGCTCTAAAAACGGCTCCGTGCGCGCGCTGACAAGTTGCATTGCGCCTGCAACTGCAGCGCACTCACGGAACGGATCAGAAACAGTCTTGGCCTGACATCTAAATTTCTAAATAGTCGCGAAATCTCTGCTGCAGAATCAGCCCGCGACAAAGCAGGAGCGCGTGCGCAATTTCAGCGGGCGCCGGAGTCACGTCGTGGGACTGAATCACGGTTAGAAGTCCGCAATGCAACCTGACAGACCAAAGGAAACCCGCGGAAAACCTGAACCTCAAGGGAAACCCGCGGGAAAACTGTGGAGCCCGCAGCCGTGGAAAACTACGGCGGAGCCGTCGGTGGCACCCAGGCCAAGCCCACGTCCTCGGAGTCGCTGGAGTAGTCCGCCCAGCGACGCGACAGTGCCGCGGCCGGTGGACTCAAGGCTGTCGGCTTTCAAAGACCAAGTCCCTCGCAGCTTTCCCGCGTCCGAGCGTTTACTTTTTCCTGGCCTCGGTGGTTTGAGTTCGAAACGGCCGGGGGTGTCTATGCGTAGGTCCTGCCGGCCAGTTCGAGTTCGGGTGAGACGAAGAAAAGGACTGGGCGCCTGGCGGCTCAACTCACTGCCCGGTTGCTGCAATTAGTACTCCGCGCGCTGGACGGCCCTGCAGCTGCCTGTCAGGCACTGTCGTCCGCACAGATTTGCGGCTGACGCCTGCTCTTTGGAAACATGAACTAGGCGGGCGGGCCGAGCGTTGGCACCACTCTTCCTCCAAGAGCTGGTAGCCATACAGCTTCGGGCTATCAGCTGTTTCTGCCGGGCCAACAATTTCGAACCCACAGAGAGGGCAATCCAGTCGCCGACGCTCCCAGGTAAAATATCGGGTTGTTCTCGGCTTAATATTTCCACAATGATTTTCTTCAGGGCCCTTCTTAGTCTCAAGTTGCGACACTAGTCGCCAGAGAGATAGTACATCAGGAACTTCTACCAAGACACAAAAGTCCAGCACAGAGAACCGTGACATATTTTCTTATAGGATTAGTCGCCCCCTTGCGCAGGCCAAAGGGGAAGGGGGGGACTGGAGAGATGGACTGTTCGGAACCATGTGGCAACCGTGATGTAGTTCCAGCTTTCCTGGTTTAGCTTGGTCTTCCAAAGGTGTGGTTCCAGCTTTCCTGGTTTAGCTTGGTCTTCCAAAGGTGTGATTGTAGCTTTCCTAGTTTAGCTTGGTCTTCCAAAGGTGTGGTTCCAGCTTTGATAGTTTTGCTTGGTCTTCCAAAGGTGTGGCTCCAGCTTTCCTAGTTTAGCTTGGTCTTCCAAAGGTGTGGCTCCAGCTTTCCTGGTTTAGCTTGGTCTTCCAAAGGTGCGGCTCTGGCATTCCTAGTTTATCTTGGTCTTCCAAAGGTGTGGTTCCAGCTTTCCTAGTTTAGCTTGGTCTTCCAAATCCATCCATCCTACCCATCCATCCATCTCCATCCATCTCCATCCATCTCCATCCATCTCCATCCATCTCCATCCATCTCCATCCATCTCCATCCATCTCCATCCGAGCCATCTCCAGCCATCTCCACGCATCTCCACGCATCTCCACCCATCTCCACCCATCTCCACCCATCTCCATCCATCTCCATCCATCTCCATCCATCTCCATCCGTCTCCATCCGTCTCCATCCATCTCCATCCATCTCCATCCATCTCCATCCATCTCCATCCATCTCCATCCATCTCCATCCATCTCCATCCATCTCCATCCATCTCCATCCATCTCCATCCATCTCCATCCATCTCCATCCATCTCCATCCATCTCCATCCATCCATCTCCATCCATCTCCATCCATCTCCATCCATCTCCATCCATCTCCATCCATCTCCATCCATCTCCATCCATCTCCATCCATCTCCATCCATCTCCATCCATCTCCATCCATCTCCATCCATCTCCATCCACCCACCCACCCACCCACCCACCCACCCACCCACCCATCCATCCATCCATCCATCCATCCATCCATCCATCCATCCATCCATCCATCCATTCCGCGTGGCGGACATGCGAGGCCGGCGCGCGGAGCAGGAAAATAACTCCCGCTAGCGCAGCTAGCTTTCGTGATTCTGTGTGTACATTGTGTTATTTACTCAACATGGTTGAACGAATGGGCTTAAATCGTCGCTTTGTCTATGTTGTATAGTGTGTCTTCATGGTCGTCGTCATGACTGAAGCAACTTAGCGCCAGGTTGCCCCGTTCTCTTCGCCTGAAAATAATAAAACACAATAAGCCGACAAACCCATCTGATGCCTGCCTCCCGAGAATGAGAAGGCGCATCTGCGTCCTGCGAGGCGGATCCGACGGATCCGGCCACGCGCATGCCAGAACAGATGGGCGCAGGGCTTCTCCGTGGCTATATATGGGAAGCGTGGGCCCTGTTGAACTGCTGATCAGGTTTAGTGGCAGTGGTGTCCCAACTAGGCCGTTGTTGGAACATATTGTATGGTTCCGTGGGACTGAGCAGCTCATGCTGTCCTATGCCCCAAAAATGCGACCTGGACCATCCACCTGGCATAAAGGCAAAACCATGCACATTTGCGACAATATCCCACCCGATAGTATCGTTCAAAATTAACCACCAACATGACTCCCTGCATGATTTTAATTGTCATGAATCTGCTCCAGGAGCTGAAACCTAGCCCCATGCTTGTCAGTCAGTCAGTCACAACACAAGCTGCTTTTACCCCCCCCCCCCCCCGGCACTCCCCCTCGCCCGTACCTGCAACGCTTCCCGCAGCTCAGAGAGTCCACTGCACCACTCCTCCGTACAGCGGCCATCCGCAAATCGGGGCAGTTCCGGTTCGTTTCCATTCAAAGACCGACCAATAAGAGGAGCCTCCCAAAAGCTGGCAAGTCCCATGGGATGGCATGGTGTCCAAGAATTGAAGTACAGAATTGACGACCCTCAAAGGCACCGGACGCAACAACGCCATGGGTATGAGAGTAAGTGGTCGATGGCTACCACATGTAGCTCTCAATCCCTAGTCTGCAGCAACTCAGCGCTGCCTGTTTAATGCTACGTGATTGAAAGCTGGCTGCTTGCGCCACGCAAAGTGCAACCAACACCTGTCACATGTACAGCAAACAGTTGCCATGGCAAGCAAAGGCAGCAACGCAACCCAACCACTTCAGAAATGGTGAACCGCCAAGCGAAAACACAAATCCGCAGCAACGACCAATGTGTGTTGTCAGTTCCACGCTGAACCTGTTGTTGGCTAGCCCCATGGTCAGGTGGCAGTTGGCCCTTGTTAGACCATGTGGGGCACTGTTTCTTTGAGAGCTTCTCTTTTTCCATCAAGGGCCCATGAAGGGAATCTCGTTCCCCCCACTCCAGAGAAGGACAACAAAAACTGCAATCCCGAAGACCCCTTCCCTTGTGCACCAATTTCTCCCATCCATGCCTCAGCGCCGTCCCCCCCCCCCCCTCGCTCGCCATCCGCTATCCATCCCCCGCCTCCGCAGCCCAGGCAAGCCGCGCCTCCGATGCCTGCGCCTGTCGAGTCCAAGACCCAAAACAGAGGCGACTGCTGGGAAGGCAATGGCCGTCATTGATGGTTTTTGGGAGGGTACCAAATGCCTAGTATCCCTGATAAATCCCAAAAACAACAAATTGCCCTGTAGCCCAATGCAACCTTCTCCAAGCACTTGTTGACAAAGCTTGCCAAGCCTATATCAAGTGGCAGGTATTCCAAGTACGGGATAGTACGGGTGGTTAGATGATTTGACCAGGCGCGCAGTCAACAAATTCAAACGTTGCAAGTTGGCTTCCTTGCTGCACGCCGACAGGTCAATAAATGAAACACAAGGTTTGACGAATTGTTTTGAAGTTCGGGGGCGCTACGCACCTTACAACACAATCACTCACTCAGCCAGACCACGTTCTGGCTGTTCATGCGCTTAACACAGTATGTGGCGATGCTCGTCGATGCCGAAAACGTGCTCCATTTTTGATGTGCTCAGTTGTGCTGACGTTTGCCGCTGGATGTCGCTGCAGTGGGCTGGTATTGGCTCGCTCTGCTCACTACGCCGGAAGGGTCGCTGTTGCTGTAGCCGCGCCGCCTTGTTACTGCCACACAGACACATTCTGGTGCGCTTGCTGGTTGTGCCAGTTGAAGCTCTGCATGAAAATCCTTGTTTGCTCACTTCACTTGAAAAATGTCCCTGCTGTATCTCGAATGTGCGTGTTGGCTTTTGCACAGTCTTTTGGCTGATTGTATCACATGACATGGAATCGCAGGCTCAAACTTCATGGAAACAGCAGCTGAACTTGCAAATCCAAGGTGAGACAACACTTGCGCAAGCCTCCCAGACTGGGCTGGCGTGGTCATACCTGCAAAGGTTTTTTCAAGGAACGCGCCCCCTATTACCCTACGATGGTTCTCCCCTCACTAAACAGCAGTAAAAGGGAGCAACCTGCAGTTGTCAACCAGGTTTCTGGGACAAACTCCAGGGAACCAAATCCTTTCGGCCATGGCCTGCAACTCTCCCAGCCCGCCTCACCCACCGCTGTGGCGCTCAGCTCCTAAAAGCTCAAAGCGGGGCATTGCATCAAAACGCAAACAACCCATCTGCACATTTTTTGAACGGAAACCCCTCCTGTGCATTTACTTATGCGAACAAAAACGTGCATATTGTATGGATGTAAGGTAAGTTCCCCTTTTGTGGACATCATTTAGGTTGGGACCAACCACTTTCGAGGTGGTTACCTATTGAACTTCGTAGCCACACTATATATTATACGTTTTCGTGTGGTATATATCCAAACAACCGCACCTTAATCCTGAACTTTGATACTGCATGGCAATCCCACCAACTGAGTGTGTTGGGGAATTGTGGGCGCTGGTATGTGTTTACCTTACAGCAACGCACCAAAGAAGCTCGCTTCCGGGCGATGTTATGCGATGCGCCTCGATCGAAAAATCAGAAAACGGGCATGCTCATGGCCATCGCTGCATGAAAACAACCAACTTTGAGACGTCAAACACGTAGTCTGGCTCCGCCCCGATAGAACGCCCAGACTCTGTCCCTCAAGCCCTCGCGGCCCAAGCCACGCCTCAGCCAGGCAGCCTAGCGCGTAGGTTGAGCAGCAGTAGCAAGTCTTTTTCTCCCAGGTTCAGTCAACGCACAGAGATGCAACTGCGCCTCTTTCTGAGGAAACTTCAATGGCATCTGGAGGGGGGTCGATTCCTACTTTCGACATGCCCTAGTTTGTAAGGCCAACGCATGTTTGAAGAAGTGCAGAATAGCTTCTTTCAACTAGCCTCCCAGTCCCAAACGCACAAACACAGGTGCACGTCTCAAGCAAGCTTTTTGGACTAGTTGCGAGTGTTGATAACTGCCGACGTTTGCAGTGAACCCACACTCCATGCGTGCTTTCCGCATTGTTGCGTTGCTCAAGGCCCAGAGTAAGCCGAAAAGGGGTCAAGGAGTCGACTCATGCGAACTCTGCTGCACGGGCCCAAAAGAAATCTCGACTTGGCTGAGGAAAGGCTTATGCCGTAAAGTGAGTGCTCCCTGATGTTGGCCTTGGCCACGGAGGATGTGCCGGATCACCGACGTTGCATTGCCTGCCGAAGCGTCTGCTCCGTGGCCTTCCTGCAATCGGCATTGGTGAAGCCGAGTGCCATTTAGAGAGAAGAGCGGAGTCGAGCTGCTTGGCCACATCCTTTCTGGCGTCAGCCAGCTCCTCTTCGGGAGTAGATGGTTCTGGTTCTTTCACATGCTAGGACGCGCCGTGGTTAAGCTAAGTTCTAATAGACCTTACAACCCAACTTATAGAGGTTGTGCTAAGTTCTACCGCAAGTCATCTGAGGATACTTACCGCAAGTGGTTTAAATTCGCTAAGCTCCGCAAGTTCAAATAAGTCTAAGTTCAAATCGCAGTGAGGGAGGGGAACGCAGGAAAACTTGATTTCTGGACTTTGGAGGGCAGAGCTACAAAGCAGAAGCACTGGACCATGAGCTCCCAAAGTCTGAAGTGAAGGGGAGAGTTCGTCCAAGTGCACATCTCGCTGAGGCGCGCAGCCATTCTCGGGACACTTGCCGTAAGCGCCCTATCAGGAGCCAAGCTAGCTTGCAAAGTTTGCTAAGTGCGACTAAGTTTTTGCCAACAGCGAGGCCCACATCGAGCCAGTATTTCGCATACTACGCGTGTACTTGGAACTTGCGACCTTGGAGTTGGAGCTAAAGTGCATGTCGTATACTACGCTCGCGCTGACAAGCTTCGACTTGCGATATTTCGCGATAATGTACTTACGCTTGTAGAAGTTGCGCTTTTGGAGCTGGAGCTGGCAAAGCGCTCGTTGTGCACTACACTTGCGCTGGAAAGTTTTTCGGCTGTGAGCCTGGGAGGGAGGCTTGCGAAACTGGAGGGCCGGGAAGTTGCCTCTCTGGATGTTGTGCGGTTCGGCGGCTTCAACATTTTCACACGGTCGGTAATTTCGCAATGGTTCGGTTCCTAAGCGGTTTGGTTCTTTAACGCTTTGGTTACTAAACTGGTTCGGTTCGGTTCCACGGTTTTTGTTTCGGTTTCCTGCCTTGTTGAAACAAATTTAACAATGCCAAGACGACTCGTACAACTGCATCCCGTGTTGGGCAACATTGTGTATTGCCAAGACTTAATTTTAGATTCCGAGTGCAAAGCTGTCAGTTGGTAGACTCAGCGCTGACGCTGGAGCAAAGTGCGGCTGGAGCGCAATGACGCTAGTTGCGACGCTGCCAAGTTTACAAGCTAAGGACGCACATTTTAAAATCATGTGAAATCCTGTGGAAAAGCTATTCCCTAAGCTCCCTGAGTGACCTAGGCAATGACCTAGGCTAGGAGCTACTAGGACTTAGCGATAAGTCCTTGTAAGTTCTCTAGAGTCCTCCCTAAGTTGCTATACAACTTGCGCAAAGTGCCACGCGCGCCACGCGGAGTTTTCTGCATTGTGTCGGGTCTCAGGCCTAGCGTGGACAAGGGGTCGACCCAAGCGAACGCTGTTGCACAAACCCAGTCATGGCAACCTCCAACGGCCTCCTGTGAGAGGCGAGGCGTCACCATCCTCACTGGAATCTGTACTCGTTCTGATATGAATCCTCATCTCACCAAATTGAAATATGGAATTCCTCAACACAACCGAGCTCACTTTGCTTCGGCAGCTCGGCGGGATTTGAATGCAGGAACTTCACCCTCGTGACTGTCCAAAGAGTAAAAAACATCTGCTTCAACGAAACGTGGCCGAAACACAGTGGAATGGCTCGAGCCTTGGCTGTGTTGCTGCTGTAGTGCTCGATGCAGCTGCGCCAGTTCCTGCGAGTCAGGTGTGCCCTGCGACGATGTGAGCCTTAACGCACGCTTCCCCATCTCAGCAGGGACACTGACACCCACTCGGCCTCAAAGGGGTACTATGGACCTTTGGGCCGGCTAGGCCCTAGGCCGCCTCTGAGCAACACAAAGACACAGAGAGAGATGCACACGCACACAAACACACAAACACAAAAGACACAAAAAACACACCAACACACACACACACAACACAAAGCAACATCCAAACAAAACACCCTATCATGCAAAAACGCAAACAAACATACAATCACACTAAACAAACACACACACACACACACACAAACACGCAAACACACACACACAAACATACAAACAACAACACCAACACACACACACACACACACACATGCGCGAGCGCACAGACGCACGCATACGCACGCACGCACGCACGCACGCACGAAAGCACGCACGCTCGCATGCTCATACGCACACGCGCACACACGCACACGCGCACACACCCACACACGCACACACCCACACACACACACACAGACACACACAATCACACACACACAAGCACAAGCACAAGCACAAGCACAAGCACAAACACAAACACAAGCACAAACACAAGCACACACACAATCACACACGCAATCACACACGCAATCACACACGCAATCACACACGCAATCACACACGCAATCGCACACGCAATCACACACGAATCACACACGTAATCACACACACACAATCACACACGCAATCGCGCACACACACACACACACATGCAATCACACGCAATCACACGCAATCACACACACAAACACACACACACACACACACACACACACACACACACACACACACACACACACACACACACACACACACACACACACAAAGACCCACACACGAGCACGCGCACACTCGCACGAACACGCACGCAGAGGCACAAGTGTATCACAATAGTTCAAGTCTCTCTGTATCTGTATATCGGGTTTTATGCTTGTCCTAGCTTATGAATATAATACATTACATGTGTTGAAATAAACCCTTACAGTGTAATCTCAGAGACGCTTGGACTGCCACGCCTGGCAACGCTGCCTCCGCTCCTCCGAAAGCTCGCGCTGGAAGGACCTGACTGGGACGCGCTGGGATACTCTTCTGCAGGTTCACACGCAACCCAAAAAATGCCCCCCCCCCCAACAAGAAAGAGAGTTTCCTCCGGCCAAGGGGGCTTTGAGGATTCCGTTTCTGTGAAAGATGAGCCCTGCAGTTTCCTCACTGGTGTGATGTGATGACCCGGGAAATGAACCTGGTAATGGCCGATTTCCTCAATGTGCCTTGCTAGAGCTCACGAGTCAAATTGTCTGTGCAATCGGTTTGCCGAAAAGAGCCTACCACCCACTCAACCCCAAGCGAAGCTTGACACACCTGTCACAACTCCTCTAAAGAGCGGCTCTTGTACGTCCCTGCTAGGGAAGTGCGCCCAAAACGTGCCCTTTTCCCTTCGGGCTGCATACCTCGCTAGGCAATGCATCTCATGAGGTCAAGCTGCCAGCTGCCACATTCCCTCATGACAACCCGCACGAGCGAGGCAAATAGATGCAAATGCAGATGCCCAAAATGGAATCGGGTCGGGTGCCAACTGCCAAACGCATGTCAATAGAGACCATAGTTTTGATTGAAACAAAGTAAGCGCGATGTGGGCTCCGTGCTGGAGCAAAGAGCCGCAGTGCTCATCCAAGATTTCCTCCAAATGAGCAGTAAACAAAACCCGCTGATAAGTTAGGCTCTACTAGGATGTGTATGAAGAATTGGCGCTTCAAAAAATTACCTGTTGCATTGGTATGCTTTATGATTAAAGCCCCGGCATAGAAAGGATGGTGCAAGCCTACCGGTGAAGGCATCATCAAACCACAAAAATAAAAGCATGGCTTCCACAAAACGAATCCTTCAAGCCTTCAAGTCGGTTGATACAAATGCATAGACAGCATTCCAAGGATTAAGCCATGTGCCGCGGGATAGGTGCGCTTGACAAGTACACAAGGGCTCGCAAAGAAACATGGGTAGTACAGTATACACAAGGGTAGCCTACTCCAAGGGTAGGTGGCGAACATTATCCGCCTTCCAATGTTTTGAGCCTGGTCTCGGGAAGGCCCGAACCAAAACAAGGACATTTCTGACGGAGAGAGCGATGCTTGTGGAAACCGTGGCAACTGTGCATAAAGCGGCTTATGATTCCTCCACAAACAAAGGGCTCCATCTCATCCTGGAGATACCGCAAAACAAAGGCATGCGGTGCCAGAACTCTGAGCAGAGACTTTCCTGGTGGCTCAAAGACTGGCTCCTGTCCTCGATCTCAACGGTATCAACTTCGTCCCCATTGCGGCCGTGCTTCCAACCAAAAACGCCTGGGGGCCTTGTAGCACTCAAAAGGCCGTGGATGACAGTACATATTGAATATTGACCCCTTTGGCCCACTGCTTCCTTCTGTGATGCTTCCATACCTGTGGAGGCCATCACAGAAATGGTCGTTCAATCTTACAATAGATTCTGGCCGGCAGCGCCAAACAATAAGTACATCGCAGTGCTGTTCGCAACAAGCATAACGCTCAAAGAGCATCCCAGTGGATGCGGCACCGTTGAGGCAAACCCAAAGGGAAAGCTGTCAACAGTCATTCGCCGCCACATTTGAATGTGATAAGACCTTCTGCCCAAACAATGGCAATGTCTAAAGCCTAAAAACAACAAACGCATCCTCGCCGGCAAACTCCAATCATTCATTCAGTCAGTCGGTGCTGGTAACGTCAGCGGCAAACTGGCAGTGGTCGGTTGGCGCTAGCACATGTCATCAGTTGTCCATCATTGTCGTTTGAGGGTTCTCATTCTAAGAATCCAGCTGCAGGAGGCACAACCAACGTCCACAGTATGGTGACAGAACACTCGCTTTCATGACAATCCAATCGGTTTGTTTTGTGTCCTTTGGAAGCTCCTGTCACTAGTTTCTTGCATGCAAATGCCGGCCTGAACTCAGCCAAGGTACAAAGTGCTGGCAAACTATGGCAAAGTCACTCACACATGCACATGCACGCATGCCCATATCCAAAATCAACAGCGTCCTCGGAGCTCTGCGTGGGCCGGCTACGCCAAGCCTCGGAAGAGACGGGTTGGATGGGTTGGATGGGTTGGATGGGTTGACCCCTCAAAAGGGTATAGGGTTTTGGTTGCTTTAAAAGCCACAAAGGCAGGGTCTGACCGTTGAAACATCTCCAAGAAGGGATCGTTACATGATTTGCCATTTCAACATGGCATTTGTCTATCTCAAAGAAAATGTTTGATCGGTCCAATGGTCCAGCCCACTGCTTGATCGGAGCAACAAATTCCCAACCCCAAGTGCCTAAAGGTTCCTTGAAACAGGAATCTACATGGGTGAAATTGGCCACAAACCTAATTAATCAAATTTGCCCAGATCCATGAGCTCCAAAAGGAGAGTCTTCCTAATTGGTGGGAACACGGGACACTTTTCCAAGTCCTATTCCAGGTCGCAATTTCAGTTGCCCGGTGGTCGCTCTGATTGAATGTGAATGTGAATATTTTGGATTATTTTGGGATAAGGAAACCAATCCATTTGCGGAGGGGGAAGGGGTCCCTAGCCGAGCTTGGATCGGTCATCCCGGGCGCCTGGGAGTTGGGGGCCCTGCCAGGCAGCGCAGGCCGTCAAGCTCCAGCTCTGGCGCTTGGCCCTGCAGCTCCTCTCAGGAGACTGGCCAAACATCCGTTACAAGTGCCTAGGAAGTTCGGGAGTTTTGACACGATTTGTGTCAACAGAAACGGCGCAAACGCATGAAGTGCTCTGGGAGTTTGCTCAGCCTGTCTGCCATCCGGTGTCCTGCAGCGCAGACTCTGGCCCTTGGACCTGCGGTCAAGAGGAAATCGCACTCCGATCCAGCGGCGAAAAAAATGGCGGGGCGTTAACCACACCCAGCAGCTTGCAGCATCTTTCTTCCTAGTTCCTTGGAAATGTGATTGGCTTTGGCTGAATTGGGCTTCTCTTTTGCCATCTCTTTTCGGAGAGGGTTGCGCTAGATGCCAAACGAAACTGGCACCCAAACAGGACGTGAAGGATCCCCCATGTGAGACGCGCATGTGAGTTTTTTCTGGTTCACAAGAATTCCAAATTCAAGGCATGAATAAAGGGACCCCCAGGCACAGGACACTCTCATGGGCGTTTTGCCTACCCCGGAGTCAGTGGAGTCGCTCGACTGCGTTCCCCGCTACCCCGCAAGCCCGGAGGCCTCCACCACCAGCCCTGGCTGCCGCTGCTGAAGCCTGGCAAAGGACATCTCTGGCGGGGAGCTGCAACCCGCGAGAAACAAACAAAGAGGTTCCCCCTCAAGAAAACACACAGGTCACCGAGTGGACGACTCCCCCCGCCACCCCAAAAACTACCCGGCCTCATTGCAACCACAGCAGGGCTTAGTCACCGGTTCCCTTCTTAGATTATAGCGAGATGCCCCCAGCCCCTGCTCCTACCGCTACAACACCCTCCCTGTTCAGGCTTCATCACCTGGCCTCTGCCGCCCTTGGACTGTGGCTACTCCTCCAGGACCACAGGCTTGCCCAATGGCATCCCAACACAGTTCCAAGCTGCACTCGTCGCGTGACACAGTAAGCGTCTCCCAGCTGGAAGTGGAAGCCATGGCGATTCAAGACTCTGGCATTGCATTCGGGTTGAGTGGTGGCAACACGCACACGCACACCCGTACTTGCACGCCCGCACACACGAGCACACACACGCACAAACTGGGAGAGCTCCTCGAAAGGAGTAGCGGTCCCTTTTGTCTTCTTTGTCTGGTTCAGCGTCAGCGTGCGATCCGGAGGGGTCGTCACGAATAGTGTCAACTTAAGTTTAAATACATGGCTCCGAATTGCAAAACTCTGGGCCAGCCAGACCCGTTTTTCACCCAATACTAAATTAAGCACGGGCTAATTCAAAAGTTAATTGCAGAAATGCCAGATCTGCGCCCCCAGCCGATTCCCCTGGACACACATGATAAACCACCCCAAAAACTCACAATAGTAAAACTCCCCAGCAGCCCCAGGACCAAAGTTTCAGGAATCTTAAAACCAGGCACGCGCGCACACACGCGCGCATGCACGCACACCCACACGCGCAAAACGCGCGCCCTCGCCGACACACGCACGCCCAAGCACGCGCACGACACACACTGGATTCTACAAAAGAAGGGGTTGGACTCCTGAAGCGGATTCACTTGCTTAGAATAGAAACATCTAGGAGAGGTTGATTGAAGCCAAGTGGACATTGCCGACTGCCGAACCCTGCTAGAAACACATCAGAATTATTGAAACTTAGGTTAAGTTTCCCGGGGTGATCTTCTGGCTGTTGGCAAGAGCAAACGATACCAAACGAGTTGGATTGGGCAACCTCCCTAGGGCACCTCCTGACATGGTGCTTCATAGGTGACAACGTGGGTATGGACAGTATCACGGGTCCGCCTGACTTTCACAGGGCTGGTGGTCAGCGTAAGCAGCTTGAGCCGGATCGCCTCCTGAGCCGTTGAGCGCGGGTCTGCGTGACCCTTGTGAATCCTTCTCTGCATCAGTTGCGATGACTCCGACATTCTAATCTGAAACACCAATGAAAGCATCCTGTAACATTGGGTAAGCTGGTTTTACCTTTTGGGACACTGGAATCAAGAGCGGCGCTTGGGACTTATATACCTTAACGGCTCGGTGTAGTTGCCCCAGTCTCCCGCGTCGCTTGGGGCGGACGAGTTGCCACTGGTTGTTGTGCGTCATGAAAGTCAACATGTGCTCTTGAGCAACCCAGATTAA